TTATTCTAAGAAGAAAAAATCTATCAAATGGTATTATTATTAAAGCTAGCAAAGTTTCCAAGATAAAGTCATGTTTAACAAAAAAAAAGAAAAAAAAATAGTGATAGGAGTTGATGATGATGATAATATAAATTAAAAGATGTAATTGATTCAATTACACTTAATGACATTAATGAGTGTAAGGAAAAGTTGGTTGCAATATTGTTAGAAGACGACCATGGTAGATGGCGGTTTCCATGCTCTTCGTTGTTGGGTTTTAAAGAAAAATGATTTTTTTTTTCAGAAAAAAGGGATTAGGCTATGGATCTAACCCGACCCAAAGCAAGAACTTGTGAGCCCAACCCTAATAATCTTGCCTTTATGCTTCATCTCTCACTTCTCTCTTCTTCATCTCTGGTTTCTCTCTTCTTTGTTCTTCATTCAAAGATGTTGCAACTCTTGTTTTTCCAAATAGTGACGACTACATTTCTGGCGATTGCTCCTCCATATCTAGCGACTCCATTTTTTCAAGCAGCTTTTTTCCTTAGCTTTCCCTCTTTTCATTTTTCTTTATTTCTCTCATTTCAGTTTTTCCCTCTCTTACTTCTCTGATTTTTTTCTCTATTTTTCCTCTCCATTTTTCAGTTTTTCCTTCTCTAACTTCTTTATTTTTCCTATTCATTTTTTTAGTTTTTCCTTCTCTCACTTCTCTATTTTTTTTCTTTATATTTTCTTCTCCATTATTCAATTTTCTCTCCCCTTTATATCAGTTTTCCTTAACATGGATCAACAAGAATTATGTTTTAATTGTTAACTTTACATTTGATGACTGTTTATTTTGTAATGAATTATGCTTTAAATTGTAGGTTATACTACTTATGTTTTAAGTTAATTCATTTCTATCATTTCCTATGACCTATAATATTTTTTTATATATTTTATTATATCTTCTTAAGCAAAGATTTTGCTTAAGTGGAATTTTGCTTGAGTGATTTGTTTCGCTTAAACAAATTTCACGATTGTTGGAATTTTTTAAAGTCCCTCTTGTGGCTTCATTCTCACTCTCAAGGTTTCTCTTTTGAATCACAGAGCACTTTATTTTCTCAAAACATCTGACTCTCTTCCCATGCTTCAAAGGTGAGGAAAATTGTTTGTTTAGGTACATTATTGTGCAATGCCATTCCTTTCTCTATTGGTTGCCTTCATTGTTTTAAATTGTGGTATTTGATGTTACCACTCCTATTCCTTTTTTTTTGCAGGGATTATAAACCCTTCAAGTTGCTTAAAGTATTACTAGTATGTTTTAAACTTTTATTTTCATGTTGGTCTGATCGAAAACATTAAGTATTTAGATTAAATGTCACTTTTAGTGTATTTGTTGTTTGTACTTTAACTTTCGCTTAAGTGGAGTCTATTCGCTTAAGCGAGTAATCTTCAAGGGAAGGGAAAAGGGCGAGAGAAATTCGCTTAAGCAGATAAATTGACTTAAGCGAATTTTTGTAGCTTAAGCGAAAAAAACACGCTTAAGCAAATTTTCCTGAAATTTGTTTTGTGGTTTTGGTTTTAGGATGACACCAAAGAAGTCTATTCCTCAAAGAAAGAGGCAAAGACCTTAAGTTGGGTAAGCTTCACAACAACATGATGAACCCATTGATCAACAACAACAATCACCAGCTGAAACTTAAATAGAAACAGGAATCATATCATGGGATAGATATAGGTTCAAAACTAGGACCAAGGCTCAAAGATATCTTGACTTACAAGCTAGGAAATTTCTATTTGAGAGGAAGGTGTCTATAGAAGAAAGAGAGTACAGAGATTTTATACAAGAGATTAGGAGAAGAAATTGAGAGTTCTTGACAAATCTCCTCAACCAAATTCATGAGGTAATCATTAAAGAATTTTATGCAAATGCATAGCCGTTGATGTCAGAAAGATGGTCTTATGTTCGAAGGCACGCAATTGTTTATGACAGAAATGCAATTTTAACCTTGTTAGGCAACCCTCTGATTGTTGGAGAAGGGGACTTATGCCAATACCAGCAATGTCAAAATCGATTCTTAGGTTTTTTCAACCATAGGGTGGCTGAGACCTTATGTATCCCCTAAAAATCCTATGAAACAAATATAGTTGGAAAGCCAATGAGGTTCAAAAGACAATCTTTGAATACTTTGGTCCAAATCTAGACATTGTTTCTCTTTGCCAACATAGCCCCAACCACACACACCTCAAATCTCCATATGTCTCAAGCATATCTCATATACAACATCATGCATGGGATATTCATTGATACAGTAACAATCATTTCAAATGAGCTGCACCAATTTGTAATCTCCAACACGTCCACTACTACATTAGCAACAATACTTTTGGGATTTCCAACACTCATCACTGCTTTATGTGCTTCCCAAAACGTTACCATTCTAGATTGCTCCTATTAAACAATCACTTTGAAAAACCAATCAATTTCCACTTTATCACACATTATTGCACTAATCTATTGGAGCAGCCTACAGGACCTTCTTCTCAACCCTCTTCATTTGTACCACTTACGTCACAACCAAGACAACCACCAACACGACTATCCCTGCTTGACATGCCACAAATGGATTCAAGCATCCTACTCCATTCGAATCACATAGAGCAACAACTGGCAGCAAACAACCGTGCTTATACTCAGCTGAACAAGTCCTTCTACAGGTAAATCTCCTCTCATTTATCATTTTAAAAGATCTAATCAACTATGCAAGAGTTTACCCTCATTTTCTCTTTTCACAAGTTCACTCTACACCAACATCATGGTGAGACATCTGCTTTCCCATGGGCAACACTAAAGGTTTTTGCAGCAACTATATCATGATCTAGAGACAACCTTACCTTTCTAATTCAAGAAAAAACTATGCAGAATCACGTATCACTGCCAGAGAAAGGTGCTAACGAGAACATTCAGGACATTGAGGAGAATGAAGGGGGAGATGTACCAAAAGGTCAACACTTAGAGGAAGAAGGGGGATATGATGAGAGAAATGAGCCACAAGCCATGCAAGAGGAGTAGAATGTAAGACATATGATTACAATTAGGATTTTGTTATAATAAATTTTAATGACTCTTGATTTTTTGTTATGTAATGAATTTCATTTTTATTTTTTTAACGCTGAATTCTTTAATTTTCATTAATAGATTTTAATATTTATCGAAAATGGTACCTTATATTATGTTTCTTTTTTTGTAAGATATAAGTTAAAAAAATTATGTAATCAAGTATATTTGGCCCTCCTTGCATGTTGTCTCTGTGGTTAATAATTTATTTGAGATAAATATAAGTACTTTTTAATCTTGAAGTTATTAAAAAAATCATAAAAGTTAAACGGTGTATAATACTCTCTTTCAGATTTATCGCTATCGTAATAAACACTATTTTAGTATTATTGTAATTAAACAAAAACCATACAACTTTTTTAATATCAGACGTTAAAGTTTATTCCTTCTTATTTATTTATTTTTCCTATGATTTTCTTATTATTGGCACTGCATGTTTGTAATGACTCACTACTGTTAGCCTTGAGTGCAGAACTCCAACTAACTAAGAATGTAAACTTTGGACTTTGGAGACAAACTTAGTAACGAATTAAAAAAATGATTTTTTAATCTTTTGTTAAATCGATTTTTATGTTTTTAGTAGATTTAACATTTAACATTTAAAAAGCAACTTGATGTATTTTTTTTTTTAACACCTTCATTCATCGTAAAAGTTAATAATAAAATAATCCACAAACTTATTTAATCCGATTAAGCATTATTGGTGCACTTATAATTTGTGCATTCTAAGTTGCATTCTAACTTATTTTATCTTTGTAATTTACAAGTTGTTTGTTTGTAGTTTAAAACTTTAAATTTATGAATAAATTATATATTTGAATTATTTTATTATTTTAATAAAAACATGTTAATTCATTATTTAAATGTGATGTATAAATTAGTATAATAATTAATTTAAGTAATATGTTAATTCGAGTTTGAATATCTATAAATTGAATAAATGAATTAAAGTGTATGTCTTAATACAGAAGTCTGCTATTGAAAAACTAAGATTAATATTTTGTATACTTAGTTAAGTTGTAACTACTAACGAATTCAAAATATTTAACTTATTATTTGTCACAAAATTCAAAGTTTGAATATAAAAGTATGTCTTTAATGGGTAAGTTTACAAATTTTTTATAATTATCTTTGGTGATATTAATTTTATATAATTTTGTTTGAATAATTTTTACTTATATTGTAAAATTATGTTATAAAAAATTATAAATTTATAAATAAACAATAAACTTGTGTTATGAAAATTACTATCTTAGAATTGTAAGAAGATAGATTATTCAACTTTGTAAATTTTATTTATCAAATTCTTTACATAAGATCATTTATTTTACTTTTTCTATTAAATTTTTGAATTAAAAGAGGATTAAGATAAATGACATTTGTAAATTTATTAATTAAAAATATTAATGTAAAATTTTTACATTATTAAATATACTTTTAAAATAAAATTAAATAAGAATTTAATATCTCTAAATATTGCTGTTTTTGAAATTAATTCTCATAAAAAGAATTTTTAACGTTTTTTTCTAATATGTTAAAGAAATAAAATATTTACAATTATCTGTTGAATTCAAGATTTATAGGTTTACTCCATCTAAATAAAAATTATATTTTTACCGTCACATTTAGCATAACTTAAAATAAAAAGAATATTCGAGAAGTGAGGTCAGAATACCAACCACCAATATTATATGTCTTAGATTATTATAAACATTATTTTTCGCTGCCAAACTTGACGATGATTGAATTATGTGTGAATGCTTCTTCCACGATATGGAAGATTAGATGAAAGCATTGAACTAATAAATTATATATGGGTTGACTGACGATCATCAACTCATTACATATGCGAATAGGGCCTTTGCTTCCTCCGTTTCCAATCCCAAAATCTACACATTGCAGCTTTATTTTCACAGGTTCGATGGCTGAACCAATTCCATTCGCTGTTACTTCAAATCTCATTCACAGGTTCGTTTCCTTAGCCTTTCTTCAACCTTTAACTCTATTTAGCGTACCTTTCCATTGCTCTTCCAAGCCTTCATGGGTTTGTTTCCTCATATTATTTTGAAATTTCTACCTTTTATCTTTTTGTTAACAATTTTATCTTTTTAATTAAAGTCTTAACAATTAATATCATTATATCTCTATTAAATATCAATGAGCTGACATTTTTAATTTACTAACCTATTATTTTATTTTAAATATCAAGAACTAAAAAGTTCTTGTACATGGGGAACAGAATGAAGGCACAGATAGAAGGAATATGGACTTACAGATTGATCTTGCATACTAGTTGTTGCATAGATCTAGAAAAGTGACTTTATGTTCCTGAATGTGCTAGAAATTTGGTTTCTGTTGCAAAGTTGGATGAATTTGGTTTTAATTTTAAGATTAGAAATGGTACCTTTTCTTTGTATAAACACTCATACTATTTTGGATTTGGTACATTAATTGATGGTTTATATCGTTTCAATCTTAATATTAAATTTGCTGAATCTCTATTTTATGTTGAGAATGCTGTTAGTAGTAATTTAAATGTGCGTAATGAATGCTCTGCTTTCTTATGGCATCAAAGGTTAGGTCACATATCCAAAGAAACGATGATGAGGTTAATGAAAAGTTAAATTTTACCTCAGTTGGATTTTGTTGACTGGGATGTATGTGTGAATTGTATTAAAAGAAAATAAACCAAACACACATCATAGAATCCAGCCACAAGAAACAGTCAATTCTTAGAGTTGATATACACTGATATTTGTGGTCCATTTGACATCCCATCTTGGGATGGTGAAAGATATTTTATTTCCTTTATTGATGACTACTCACGTTATTGTTATCTGTATGTGTTGCATGAAAAATCTCAATCAGTGGATGTCTTACAGGTGTTCATTGATGAGGTGGAAAGGTAACTAGATAGAAAGGTAAAGGTTGTGAGGTTAGATAGAGGTGGTGAATATTATGAAAAATCTGATGAAAGTGGACAATGTCCAGGTGCATTTGCGAAACTTCTAGAAAGTCGAGGCATATGTGCATAATATACTATGCCTGGTACACCACAACAAAATGGTGTGGTTGAAAGGCAGAATCGTACTATCATGGAAATGGTTAGGAGTATGTTGAGTTACAGTTCTGTACCTATGTCTTTGTGGATGTACGCATTAAAGACCGCTGCATATCTACTTAACAGAGTTCCTAGTAAGGAAGTTCCAAAAATTCCTTATGAACTGTGGAAGAAAAGAAACCCAATTTAAGACATCTTCATGTCTGGGGTTGTCCAGCAGAAGTAAGAGTGTATAATCCACATGAAAAGAAGCTTGATGCTAGAACCATTAGTAGTTATTTCATCGGCTATCTTGAGAAATCAAAGGGGTACAGATTCTACTGTCCTAACCATAGTATGAGAATAGTTGAGTCTGGAAATGCAAGGTTCATAGAAAATGATCAGTTTAGTGGGAGTGGTGAAACACGAAAGGTGGAAATTAAAGAGACACGTACGGAAACTCCTGTAGTTGGTGTCTCTTCTCCAGTTGTTGTTCCTCTTGTTGTATCACAGTCACACAACATAAGGAGACAATAAGTTAATGTTCCAAACCTACAAGAACAACATATAGAGAATGAACCACCTGAAAATGGGCAAGTCACAAATGAACAAGAGAAATGTAAACCACAAGAGATAACATTAAGGAGGACTATAAGGCAAAAGAGACCTGTTATTTCGAATGACTATGTGGTTTACTCACTTGAGCATGAATGTGACTTGAGTATTGATGAGAATCCAGTCTCATTTAAGCAAGCTGTAACATCTTAAATTTAATTTCAATTAAATAACAATTTCGTAAAATTTGAATAATAAAATTCCATAAAATATTTCAAAAATGAGGAAGGGTTACAAGATCATGTCAAACAACTGCCACAGGGCTAGTTCAAATACAACAAATTTCAAAATATTATCCTAAGCCCTATAGCAGTTCATCCGTCCCTTCACTGTGTTCGGTGCTGATCGTCTTGACTCCCTGAAAAATGAATGTAAAGGTGAGTACTCTACACTACCAAATACAATCAAACATAGAGTCTCACCTTCACACTATTTAAATATATTCAGCAAAAAGATAGTACATTCACAAGCAGCATTTTAGTACAATTCATTTCAATTAAAACACTGATGCACTTACTGCACCTACAACAGTTCATACTTACCCTTCACAGCATATTCCACCGGCGTTAGCACGCCCCCCTTCACAGCATATTACGCCGGCGATTACTCGCCCCTTTTCACAGTATTTATACCGGCAACAACTCGCCCCATTCTCAGTATTTATATCGGCAATTACCCACCCCATTCACTTTATTTCACAATGCACGGCTCTAGGCCCATATTCATTTATAAAACACGGCACATAGTCTACTATTATCCATAACCCACAACAATTTATCCATATTCATGTCATACCATACGACACCTAGCCTATGTTCAGTCACAATTCACGGCACATAGCTCACATTCAGTTCTATTATATGGCACTCGAGCCTACACTTGTTCACACATCATCAAGCACAGCAAATTTCATCAAATACTCATATTCTCATCCACACACATAATATTCACATGGCCCTCATCACCTTCTACGACCATTTCCCTTCCCTATACATTTTCTACCCTCCAACTTAGCCACATTTCATATTCAATCAATTTCGCAGTTAATTACACGTAGAAAAAAGTAGGGTAGACTCCCCGCTTACCTTGGATTGAAGACTCACACTTGGATTCAATCTTGGAAATGTTCTCCCCACAGATTTCAGCCTACCCACACGGTTAATTTCATGAGAACCCCTTAAATCACCCCAAAATAGAGAAAGAGGAGGAAAAACAAAACCCTAACCATTAAACCTCACCTTCAAGTGTTCTCCACACGAATCTGAAATCCAATCTCGCTCACGAACGGCTTTGGAGGCAATCAATCGGTGGGAAAAGGGTTTGGGGTCGAGAGAATCAAAGGGATTAGGGAGAGGATTTGAGAAATAAACTTCAAATCCCTAAGCCCTCTTTTAAAACCCCTCAGATCGCGACACTCTAGCTACAGCGAGAAATTCTCGCTGCAGCGACGCCCTCTATCGCCATAGCAAAAATCTCAAACGAAACTGCACCCTAATTTCTGCAGAATCTTGCTGCAGTAAGACCCTCTCGCTACAGTGAGTCTATACCCAGAAATGCAGTCCCCACTGTCACTCTCTCGCCACAGTGAGACACCTCTCGCTACAGCGAGAAGGTGACAGTTTAGCCCTCTTCTTCCCAGGGCACTCTCACTACAGCGAGGATCCTCTCACTACAGTGAAAACACTTTGCACCAGCTACTTAGCCTATTCTTTCCAGCTCAGTCTATTCATACGCACATAACATTCTCGTATTCATTCATATACACATGCATATATACTCATACATTACTACCACACATTAAAATGTCATGCGCATTCTATCATTTCGCACTCGAGTGCACATTCCAACATTCATTTTCATATAAATACTCACATATCTATCTACATCAATAATAATGATTAATATTATCAAAATTCGGGGCGTTACACAAGCCATGGAATGTAACAATTCTGAAAAGTGGTTGAATGCCATGGAAGAAGAATTAAAATCAATGAGTGACAACAAGGTATGGGATCTAGTCGAGTTGCCTGAAGGTTCAAAAAGAGTCGATTGCAAGTGGGTCTTTAAGACCAAACGTGACTCAAAAGACAACGTTGAGAGATACAAGGCTAGACTTGTTGCTAAAGGATACACTCAAAAGGATGGCATAGACTATAAAGAGACCTTTTCTCCAGTTTCAAAGAAGGACTCTTTAAGAATTATTATGGCTTTGGTGGCTCATTATGACTTAGAGCTCCACGAAATGGATGTAGAGACCGCTTTTTTGAATGGTGACTTGGAAGAGGAAGTTTATATAGATCAGCTAGATGACTTCATGACCGCAGGTAAAGAAAGTATGGTGTGTAAGTTAAAGAAATTAATATATGGGTTGAAACAGGCTTCCAGACAATGGTATCTTAAGTTCAATGATACCATCACGTCATATGGTTTGGTAGAAAACACCATTAACCAATGTATCTATATGAAGGTCAGTGGGAGCAAGTTCATCATTTTAGTTCTATATGTTGATGACATTCTTCTTGCTACTAATGATGTTGGGCTGTTGCATGATATAAAGGAGTTTCTCTCTAAGAACTTTGAGATGAAATATATGGGTGAGGTTTCCTATGTGATTGGAATAGAAATATTTCGTAATAGATCAGAAGGATTACTAGGATTGTCTCAAAAAGGCTACATCAACAAAGTATTAGAGAGATTCAAAATGGAAAAGTGCTCACCAGGGGTGGTTCCAATTTAAAACAAAGACAAGTTTAGTGAAATGTAGTGTCCCAAGAATGAGTTGGAACAGAAAACAATGGAATCTATTTCCTATGCATCAGTGGTCGGGAGTTTAATGTATGCTCAGACATGCACTCGGCCTGATATCAGTTTTGCTGTTGGAATGTTAGGCCGATATCAAAGTAATCCCAGAATGGACCACTGGAAGGTTACAAAGAAAGTCCTTAGGTATGTACAAGGTACCAAGGACTACATGTTTACTTATAGGAGATCTAGTCACCTAGAAGTGGTTGGCTACTTCGATTCAGACTATGCTGGATGTGTATACTCAAGGAAATCGACCTTTGGCTACATCTTCTTGTTGGCTGGAGGTGCGATTTCATGGAAGAGCGGAAAAGAGTCCATTATTGCTACGTCTACCATGGAAACAAAATTTGTAGCGTGTTTTGAGGCCATTATTCATGCTTTGTGGCTGCGGAACTTTGTCTTAGGGTTTGATATTGTTGATAGTATAGAAAAGCCACTAAGAATGTACTGTGATAATTCTGCAGCTGTCTTCTTCTCTAAGAATGATAAGTATTCAAAGGGAGCAAAA